GGTGGTTGATGGGAAATGTTCATCCTGGAGTTCAGTTACTAGTGGTGTACCTCAAGGATCTGTTTTGGGGCCACTGCTGTTTGTCATTTTTATAAATGACCTGGATGAGGGCGTAGAAGGATGGGTTAGTAAATTTGCGGATGACACCAAAGTCGGTGGAGTTGTGGATAGTGCGGAAGGATGTTGCAGGTTACAGAGGGACATAGATAAGCTGCAGAGCTGGGCTGAGAGGTGGCAAATGGAGTTTAATGCGGAAAAGTGTGAGGTGATTCACTTTGGGAGGAGTAACAGGAATACAGCGTACTGGGCTAATGGTAAGATTCTTGGTAGTGTGAATGAGCAGAGAGATCTCGGTGTCCATGTGCATAGATCACTGAAAGTTCCCACCCAGGTTGATAGCGTTGTTAAGAAGGCATACGGTATGTTAGGTTTTATTGGTAGAGGGATTGAGTTTCGGAGCCATGAGGTCATGTTGCAGCTGTACAAAACTCTGGTGCGGCCGCACTTGGAGTATTGCGTACAGTTCTGGTCACCGCATTATAGGAAGGACGTGGAAGCATTGGAAAGGGTGCAGAGGAGATTTACCAGGATGTTGCCTGGTATGGAGGGAAGGTCTTATGAGGAAAGGCTGAGGGACTTGAGGCTGTTTTCATTAGAGAGAAGAAGGTTAAGAGGTGACTTAATAGAGACAAGATGATCAGAGGATTAGATAGGGTGGACAGTGGGAGCCTTTTTCCTCGGATGGTGATAGCTAGCACGAGGGGACATAGCTTTAAATTGAGGGGTGATAGATATAGGACAGATGTCGGAGATAGGTTCTTTACTCAGAGAGTAGTAAGGGCGTGGAATGTCCTGCCTGCAAAAGTAGTAGACTCGCCAACTTTAAGAGCGTTTAAATGGTCATTGGATAAACATATGGATGATAATCGAATAGTTTAGGTTAGATGGGCTTCAGGTTAGTTTCACAGGTTGGCGCAACATCGAGGGCCGAAGGGCCTGTACTGCGCTGTAATGTTCTATGTTCTATGTTCCGTCTGCCACTCCTGAGCCCTTGGCCCATCTGATCAAGATCCCATTGTACTCTGAGCTAACCTTCTCACTGTCCACTATGCCTCCAATTTTGGTGTCATATGTAAACTTACTAACCGTACCTCCTATGTTCACATCCAAATCATTTATATAAATGACGAAAAGCAATGGACCCAGCACCGATCTTTGTGGCACACTGCTGGTCACAGGCCTCCAGTCTGAAAAGCAACCCTCCACCACTAACCTCTGTGTTCCATTTTCGAGCCAGTTCTGTATCAAAATGGCTAGTTCTCCCTGTATTCCATACGATCTAACCTTGCTAACCAGTCTATCATGAGGAATCCTGTCGAACGCCTTACTGAAGTCCATATGAATCACGTCCACTGCTCTGCCCTCATCAATCCTCTTCATTACTACTTCAGAAGACTCAATCAAGTTAGTATGACACAATTTCCCACACGCAAAGCCATGTTGACTATCCCTAATCAGTCCTTGTCTTTCCAAATACATGTAAGTCCTGTCCCTCAGGATTCCCTCCAACAACATGCCCACCACTTATGTCAGGCTGACTGGCCTATATTTCCCTGGCTTTTCCTTACCACCTTTCTCAAATAGTGGCACCACGTTAGCCAACCTCCAGTCTTCCAACACCTCACCTGTGGCTATTGATGATACAAGTATCTCAGCAAGGGGCCCAGCAAACACTTCCCTAGCTTCCCATGGAGTTTTAGAGTGCATCTGATCAGGTCATGGGGATTTTATCCATCTTTTATGCATTTTAAAATGTCCAGCACTACCACCGCTGTAATATGGACGTTTTCAAGATGTCACTATTTATTTCCCCACGTTCTCCATCTTCCATATCCTTCTCCACAGTAAACACTGATGCAAAATACTTGTTTAGTATCTCCCCCATCTCCTGCAGTTCCACACATAGGCAGCCTTGCTGATTTTTAAGGGGCCCTAGTTACTCTTTTGTCCCTAATGTATTTGTAGGATCCCTTTGGATTCTTCTTAACCCTATTTGCCATAGCTGTTGCATGCCTCCCTTTTGCCCGCCTGATTTCCCTCTTAAGTATACCCGTACCGTCTTTACACTTTTCTAGGGAGTCACTCGATCCCTCCTGTCTGTACCTGACATATGCTTCCTTTTTATTCTTGACCAAAGTCTCAATTTCTCTAGTCATCCAGCTTTCCTATACATACTAGCCTTGCCCTTCATCCTAACAGGAAGATACTGTCTCTGAACTCTCATTATCTCATTTTTGAAGGCTTCCCACTTTCCAGCCATCCCTTTTACTTGCAAACATCCACCCCAATCAACTTTTGAAAGTTCTTGTCTAATACTGTCAAAATTGGCCTTCCTCTAATTTAGAATTTTAACTTTTAGGTCAGGTCTATTCTTTTCTATCACTATTTTAAAACTAAAAGGATTATGGTAACTGGCCCCAAAGTGCTCCCCCACATTCACCTCAGTCACCTGCCCTGCCTTATTTCCCAAGAGTAAGTCAAGTTTTTCACCTTCTCTAGTAGGTACTGAATCAGAAAATGTTCTTATACATATTTAACAAATTCCTCTCCATCCAAGCCCTTAACACTATGGCAATCCCAGTCAATGTTTGGAAAGTTAAAATCCCCTACCATAACCATGCTATTATTCTTGAAGATACTGAGATCTCCTTGCAAATTTGTTCCTTCATTTTCTGCTGACTATTAGGGGTTCCATTGTATAATCCCAATGAGGCGATCATTATTGTTAGTATTTTTACCATCCAAGTTAACTGCTGCTTTGATTGCAAACAATTTTGACTCTTACTTCCCTTCAATTTCCAATTTCTGCGCAGTTCAAAATTTGCCTCTTTTCAAAGCAGATTGATTCTTGGCTTTTAGTACAATTTGGCATTGGCTCATTTTGCAACGTGTACACTACCAGACATGAAACACCAGTTGGCACAAACACACACAAGGCATTTCCTTAAAGTGGTACTTGAGATAAAGTGTACTCTATGTGTGTGTGCATGGCCCCCGAATAATTTGTGAATAACTCAAAAAAGTTTTAGTCTTAAGATGAAAATTAGTTTATCGTAAAATACTGCTGTATGTTACTTAAGTATAAGTAATTAAATTACTTGGTAAATATGTACAAGAATGAAAAGCAGCTGAAATAAAATATATGTATACAGGTGAAATTCATGTCATGTGTTAGGATGCAGGCTGGCAGCTTTCAATTAAAGTGTTGGATGTTTGGAATAAAGAGTTGTGTTCAGCAGCTTTGGTGGCTTATTTAGTTTAATATTGCCTTTGTAATGAACTCAGTGGGTGGAGCAGTTTACAGAGCATGTGGAAGTTCCTTTTCTTTATTGGTCTGTCAACACAACACTTGAAAACTGCCTGGATTTCTCTTCAGTAAAACAAGGAGGATTTCTGGTCAGCCCTGTGTAACTTCCAATGTGAGAGAGAAAATTCAACCCTCACATGCTGTTCACAGTAGTTCAGCTGAGTTTAGTGCTGGAGCTGTCTTTACAAGTTCTCCTGAGATCTCAGATCTTGCACGCAATGGCTGTTCCCAGCCAGACTTTAATACAGTTCAAAATCCAAAATGGCTGCTCTTCTGTATTAGATATTGGATTAGCCCAAATCTTGATATAGTCCCATCCACTTTTTTAGACAAGCTGTTTTTTAAACTGACTCAGTCATGAACTTGAATGATTTGATGACAGGAAAGATCTTTGCACACCTCCAGGAAGGCCATTGTTAATGAGGCAAAAGGACAAAATTTGGCAGATGTAATATAAATGAGGAAATGTGAAGTTAAGCACTTTAGTAGGAATAATAAAAGAGCAGAATATTATTTAAATGGAGAAAGACTGCAAAAAGTTACCAAACAGAGGGACATGGGAGTCCTTGTCCATGATTTTCAAAAAGCTAATGGAGAATAAAAGTGGGGAGATTTTGTTAAAACTATACTAGTCACTACTTTGACAACAGCTGGAATACTGTGAACAGTTTTGGGCTCCTTATCTAAGAAAAGATATACTAGCATTTCAGGCAGTCTAGAGAAGATTCACTAGACTGACACCACGTATGGAGGCACTGTCTTATGAGGAGAGGTTGTGTAGATTGTGCCTGTACTCATTGAAATATAGCAGAATGAGAGGTGGTGTTATTGAAGCCTGCAGGATTCTTCAGGGTCTTGACAGGGTAGATGTGGAATGGTTGTTTTCCCTTGTGGGACAGTCTAGAACCAGAGGGCTTCATCTCAGAATATGGGATCGCACATTTAAGTTATTTAAAATCAGAGATGAGGAGGAATTTCTTCTTTGAGCGTGGTGAATCTGTGAAATTCTTTACTGCAGAGGGCTGTTCAGGATGGGTCATTAACTATATTCAAGGCTAATATAAGCAAACTGTTAATTAGGAAGGAAATCAAGTGTTATGGGGAAAAGGCAGAAGAGTGAAGTCGAGGATTATTAAATCAGTCATGATCACGTTAAATTGCAGAGCAGACTTGATAGATTAAATAGCCCATTTCTGCTTCTGTGTCTTATGGAGATTCTATTCAACCCTGTGGACTTGATCCTTCTTGAGATAAGTACAGTCTGTTACAATTCAGTTGAATCAATAAAAGTCGTGATTTTTGGGAGCCATGTTTAATAGCACTTTTTGTGTCCATTTTTAAAAGGAGATTAGAGTCGATTATGAAATCTGTAATATGACTGCATATTGATGACAGCTATTGGTGAAATGGGTGAAAGTTGGCTAGTGGTTCTAGGGCATGGAATAGTGACAGTGAAGCAAAAAGATTCACTGTTGGCTCCTTCTGTTGATTCAGTATTCATTTTTGGAGAGCCCAATGCTCATAATGTTATTAATTGAAATGTATTAGAACCTGCTTAATCAATTTACAACACCAACTTATGTTTTGTCGTGCCTTTATCATAGTCTAATTTTCCAAATGGTTTATAATACAGAGTTTGATGATGCCACAAACCTGCTGGCAGCAAATCCAGATGCTACCACAATAAGCATCACAGACACCAATGATAAACCTAAAAATCAGAGAGGCCCACCAGGCAAGTTGGGAAGAGATGAGGATGAAGATTTGCTCGGGAATGAAGACTCTGATAAAGCAGAGGTGAGTAACTTTGTAATGGCAAATATACAAAAATTAAATTTATATTGTGTACCTCAAAATATAAAATGACTTTATGTTAATGGCTGTCAAATACATCACTTGAATTTTAGAAAACGAAAAAGTATATTAGGCCTAAAATACCTTTAAAAATTTTCACTCATCACTTCACCTCTACACTTTAATATCAGTGTAATTTTACTCCAGAAATGCATGCTGTTATCCTATCTGCTTCTTAATTCTCCCTGCACTGGTGGTCTTCCTTCAGTTTGCCAATCCATTTCACAGTTTAATTTTCTTGCTTGTAACACTACATTAGAAATGATTTGTGGTTATTTTTAATTATTTAAGAAGAATCATGATAATGTTTATTGATACTAATGATAAATGTAATTTGAGTTCTACCTTCAGCTGTGTTCCCATACACTCCTCAATTTGCATTTACTTGAAAAAATATGGCATTTCCAGAACTAAATTGTGTGGGTTTTCTTTTGTAAAGAAAAGCTGATAATAATTTATTAGAACCTTTGTGACCAAGTTTGTCTTTACTTTTTTTTCCTATGCAGTTGCTTGCGGGACAAAAGAAGAGTGCTCCATTTTGGACGTTTGATTATTATCAAACATTTTTTGATGTGGACACCTACCAGGTTGGTGTATTTTGGTTTCTCCTCCAAGTACTTCTAATTATAAAAGAAATTAATAATAAAAAGGCAACATTTTAACCAGTATGCATTTTAAAAGTTTTATTTGTCTCACTCTCATTTTGTTCTCCCATTCTGCCCACTATAACACTGATTTGTATTGTTGTTTGGTTCTATGGGTGTTAAAAACTTTCTGGTGCATTATCAAAATTACCGTCTTCACTCAATGAGTGACAGCAGAATGTTGTTTGGTGGTGGAGCATTGTTATCCCATCCTGCTCACTGTCCACATTCAAACAAGCAGTGATTGGGAAAGGAAATCCTAGCTTTTATACCGTAAGACATAGGAGCAGAAATTAGGCCATTCGGCCCATGGAGTCTGCTCTGCCATTCAGTCATCGCTGATAAGCTTCTCAACCCCATTCTCCCACTTTCTCCCTGTAACCCTTGATCCCCTTGACAATCAAGAACCTATCTATCTCTATCTTAAATATACCCAATGACTTCGCCTCCACAGCCTTCTGTGGTGGCGAATTCCATAGATTCACCACTGTCTGGCCGAAGAAGTTTCTCCTGTTCTAAAGGGTCTTTCCTTTACTTATTTTACTCAGCAGCCTCCTGTGCAGCACCTTGTCAAAGGCCTTCTGAAAGTCAGGTAGATAATATCCATCAGGTGTCCTTGGTTCACCTCCTCAAAGAATTCTAACAGATTTGTCAGCCATGATCTCCCCTTGATGAAACCATACTGCCTTTGCCCTATTTTACCATGCACTCCCAAGTATTCATATATCTCATCCTTCACAATAGACTCCAAATCTTACCAGTGACCGAGGTCAGGCCAATCGACTGTAATTTCTTGTCTTTTGCCTCACTACCTTCTTAAACAGGAGAGTTACATCCAGTCCTCTGCGACCATCCCTAACTCCAGTGATTCCTGAAAGATCACCACTAACGCTTCCACGATCTCTTCAGAACTCTGGGGTGTAGTCCATCTGGTCGAGATGATTTATCCACTTTCGGACCTTACAGTTTTTCTAGCACCTTCGCCTTGGTGATGGCCACCATACTCGCCTCTGCCCCCTGAATCTCTTGAATTTTTGGGATATTACTCATGTCTTCCACTGTGAAGACTGACACAAAGTACTTATTCAATTCCTTAGCCATTTCTTTGTTCCCCATTACTACTTCTCCAGCGTCATTTTCCAGCGGCCCAATGTCCAATTTTGCCCTTTATATATTTAAAGAAACTCTTACAATCTTCTTTTATATTACTGGCCAGCTTACCCTCATATTTAACCTTCTCCCTCCTTTTTTCTTTTTTCATTGTCCTCTGTTGGTCTTAATAGGCTTCCAAATCTGCTGGCTTTCCACTGCCTTTTGCCACATTATATGCTTTCTCTTTTGCTTTTATGCTGTCTCTGTCTTCCCTTGTCAGCCACGGTTGCCTCATCTTCCCTTTAGTATGCTTCTTTTTCCTAGGGATGAATTTTTGCTGTGTCTCCTGAATTACTCCCAGAAACTCCTGCCATTGCCGTTTCATTGTCTTTCCTGCTAGGCTCCTCTCCCAGTTAATTCTGGTCAGCTAATGTCTATGTAGTTGCCTTTATTCAACTCTAATAGTGTTACATCTGATTCTACCTTTTCATTCTCAAATTGCAGAGTAAATTCTGTCATATTATGGTCACTGCCTCCTTAAGGGTTCTTTCACCTTAAGCTCCCTTATCAAGTCTGCCTCATTGCACAACAATGTTTCTTGTTCTGCACAGAGTACCAAGTTCAAATGCTGTGCTTCAACTGTTTTTAATTTCAGTCATGGGTTGCGGACATCGCTGGATGGGCCAGTATTTATTGCCTATCCCTAGGTAATCTTCAGAAGGTTGTTGTGGTGAGCTGCCCTCTTGAACCCCTACAGTCCATTTTGGTAATGATAGGCCCACAATGCCATTGGTGAGTGACTTTGAGGATTTTGACCCAATGACACTGAAGGAATGGCAGTTTATTTCCTAGTCGGGATGACAAGTGGGGCTTGGAAAGAAACTTGCAACTGGTGATGTTCAATGTTCCCTTTAAGCTGTGTAGCTGCACAGCCACTAGTAAACTTCACACGTACCAGTGGGTTTCAGATGCATAGCTTCTACTTCTGGAAGCTGTATTGGTAATTTTGTTCTCTGCGTAACAGGTGTTGGACAGAATAAAAGGTTCCCTTTTACCACTGCCTGGCAAAAATTTTGTGAGATTGTATATTCGGAGTAATCCAGATCTTTATGGTAAGTATGAATTATAGTGGTTATTAGAAAATAAGTATTGTTTATTTTGAAGTAACTGACATGAGAACTGAATGTCCTGTTACTACTTTCAGCATAAACCTGTCTTATCTCCCTATCAAATACAATGTGTAAGCAGAATTTTTCGATGCTAAATTTGAACGAAGGATGTATTTGAGTCCAATAAATCTCATCTCGGTTTATTCTCTGCAAATAAAATTAAAATACAGATGTGAAAATATTATTGCACTTCTTGGACGGGAATTGGAGGGGTTCAAAAGACCAGAATGGAAGTTCATATATTTAGAGGAGGTAAGAAGGGAAAACAAATCCATGGATGAGTTCAGGAAAAGCAGAAATTATGGCCAAAAAATGAGTTCAATCACAACTTATTTTCTTTTATTCTAAGATGCCTTTTACCTAAGCTTCCCTGCAGGAAATTCTGAAATCAAAAATGTGTTTACATTGCGATAGATAACAGGAGGAGGAAAACCTGTGAATATTCAGTTTGTGAAAATTTCAAAACTAAAGGGAATTGTTGTTCTGTATTATTTATAATTAAGAAAAATGGAACAGCACATTTGACTGCTTAAAGGTGTTGTCCTGTTCATTGGTATAACACTTTGCTTTTGAAATGTCTTAATTAGGTCCCTTCTGGATATGTGCCACACTGGTGTTTGCAATAGCGATAAGTGGCAACCTTGCAAATTTCTTGACTCACCGGGGCCAGCGTGGTTACCGCTATGTACCTGAGTTCCATAAAGGTAAATAGAAAACCCAGGTCTTTTCTTCCTTAAATCATGCAGAAATATGATTTAATTGAGGAACATTAGTCAGACCACACAGCATATATAATATCAGCATATTCTTGGATAATGAGCAACTGCTGTGTCCTTCCAATTCCCCACCTCTACAACTCCATTTTAGGGGCAGTACTGAATGGGGACTAAAGACTTATTTCTTCCAGCAAGGAAGCAGCCCCACACAAGCAGTGAGTGTATTTCCTGATGATTTCAAAATGTAATTGGTAGAGGCTGAGGAGCTGTTATAAAATCACACACTTAGGAGATGGAGCTTGATGCATGTGATGAGGTAAAGAACTTTGTTGTGGTAGTGACAAAATTGATTGCAAAGTTCTTTATCTCACCATATGCATCAAGCTCATCTCCTGCTAAGAGTGTGAGCATATGACAGCTCCACAGTCTCTGCCAATTCCATTTTGAAATCATCATTAGGAAAGTGCACTAACTGGTAGGGTGAGGCTGCTCTGTGCTGGATCAAAGGTCTCATGCCCTGTACTGCATGCTTGTCCCACTTGTGGCATCTTCACTGTTTCAATGAAAACAAATCTCAGTTCACAAAGATCTTTGAAATGCTTTACCACCTTCAGACTTCGTATAAGCAACGCGCTTTTACAACCCACCCACTACTTCATGCTTTCCTAATCTTTTGCAATGTTTTCCAGCGCTGACAATATCCTGACTCTGGACTTTGGTTTCACACTCGGGATGTCCCACAGCATGTCAGAGTCAATTCTAAAGATTTGCATTTACGGTATATCGTGTCTTTTATGAACATCAAACATCTCAAAACGCTTTACAGACCATGAAGTACAATCACTGTTGTACTGTAGAGCACATGGCAGGCAATCAATTTGTACACTTCAAACTCCAGCAATGTGATATTGACAAAGCACTATGTTGTTGTGATATTGATTGAGGGATAAATATTGGACAGGATAGTGGAATTAACTCCTCTGCTCTTTTAAATACTTTTTGATGTGTGGTTACTGCTGAAATGTAAGGCAATTAAGGCAGTAATATCTGAATAAGGTTATTGGCATAGTTGGTGGTAATGCTATCTATGTACATATTAATTAAGATAAATAGGATTTGCATTAGTAAATGAATCTACAGCTTGAGACCATAAATTTAAGATTATCGTTAGAGTGTGCTATAAGACATAGAATGCCTTATCAGTGGAAATAGAATCACCAACAGCTTTTAACAGGGATTTGGATGAATATCTGGAGATGTACAGAGTCATAGTGTCAGACAGCTTGGAAACACATCCTTCAGTCTAACTAGTCCAGGCTGACCATGTTCCCAAACCAAATTAGTCTCACTTGCTTGTGTTTGGCTCATATCCCTCCAGACCTTTCCTACTCACGTACGTATCCAAATGTCTTTTAAATGTTGTAACTGTACCTGCATCCACCACTTCCTCTGGCAGTTCATTCCCTATTTGAGCTCCTCTCCATGTGAAAAAGTTTCCCCTCGTGTCCTTTTTAAATCTTTCTTCTCTCACCTTAAAAATATGCCCACTAGTTTTGAACTCCCTCACCCTATTCATCTTTTCTGTTCCCCTCATGGTTTTATAAACCACTATAAGGTCACCTCTCAACCTCCTCCAGTAAAAAAAAAGTCCCAGTCTAACTTTATAATTCAAGTCCTCCATTCCTGGCAACATTCTGGTAAACCTTTCCTGAACCCTCTCAAATTGAATAATATCCTTCCATTAGCAGGACGACCAGAACTGTACACAGTACTCCAAAAGAGGCCTCACACAGAGAAAGTTTAGAGGAATGGAGAGGGTAGTTACTTTATTGACTCTTCTGTGGTGTAAGCCTCACAGCTATTTTCTTTTCCAAAGTAATAGGAAACAAATGCCAGTAAATGATTAAAGCTGTACTGCCCTTCTAAGCAAATGAACATACTAATTAGGAGCTGAAGAAGACCATTGGCCATTTTGTCTCCCAAGTCAGCTCTGTTCTTCATTAAAATCTTGGATGATCAAATTGTGACTTCAACTCCACATGTTCACCATCCCTGATAACCCCTGACTTCTTGTTAGTCAAGAAGTCCTGGCCTCAACTAACATCACCCTGAAGGAAACTCCAGGGTTGTCAGATCCCTACTAATTGAGGTAGGCTGTATATACCTTACATCTGTTAATTCTTGTTAATATGAGAAAGGAGACTAGGATCATTAAAAATCGAAACAATTCAATTTCCATTTGTAATCAGCATGACAAAAGTTGTGAATAAAGGGATTAGTAGCTGAAACTAAAAGAAAATTACTCTCCTCCACAAGTTGACTCCTGCAGAAGTTTCATAAATTCAGAGTTTTATTTTCAACAAGATTTAAAACTAGCTAGAAGAAAGGTTAGTTATAGTTTAATTGTAGGCTTAGGATCATGGAACTAAAAATGCACTACAATATAAAGAAATATGGCTCTAATATACTTTTGAGGTGAAAGATGACTGGATTTGTATTGCACCTATGGAAAAGTTATGTAATCCCTCTTCTATTACATTCAGTTATGTAACAGGTAGCTGATCTACATATACGGATGACTTGCTTAGTAATTACTGTAAAGAAAGTGAGCAGTAAAACATACTTAAGTGAAGTGTGTATTCATGCAATTTTCTACCTGTAATGCACTCCAAAACAGTTAACACACAAAAGTTAACCTAATGCATTTTCAGTTATGCAATGGGAAAAGAAAAATTACAATCAGAACTCATCCTCAGCTTGTCAATACTATTAAATAATCCACATGAGACTGTGTGATGCAGTGTTAGAGTATTCTGTTCCAGTCCAGTGGATGGAATGCCTATCTATTGTGTTCTCTTCAAGAATTCTAAATGGAAGAACACTAAGCAAGCTGTGTCCAGTCCCAATTGAGCACAAATCCATAATCTCCTCTTCTGATAATCCCTAGATTCCATTATTATGAAGCAAAATTTAAGTAATGTCTTTTTGTGAAATTATTATCCAAAAATAGGAAAAGTCTGAACATTTTTTATTTAACCAATATGTATTGTGAAACCTGTTTCACAGTTTAATAGAAACTGTGTTCACCAGTCATAAAATATGGAATCTCCATTATATGATGAATGATTTCTTGCAACTTTTTTTTAAGAAGACATTCATTCCACGTCACCTACTAGACAAAGCCACAGAATTGCAAATTTGTTTTTACTCACTTAGTCAGTTTTACTGTGTTGTAGATCAAATTCACAACATGGCAAAACCAGAAAACAAGAACTAAAGGTTGTAAAGTCAATATTAGTGTTAGAAAAATTTTGTACTTAATTTCTCTTATGGATTTCAGTAAGTAGTAAAGTAAATTTGTAAATGTTACAATGTAACTACACTTTTCTTTGTAGTTTCTATAGCAGCTACAGCTATCTATACCTATGCCTGGCTCATTCCTCTCGCTCTGTGGGGCTTTCTAATGTGGAGAAATAATAAAGTGATGAACATCGTGTCGTATTCATTCCTGGAGATAGTGTGCGTCTATGGATACTCGCTGTTTATTTACATTCCCACTGCAGTAAGTATGTCTTTCTTCCTATGAAAGAGGGAGTTAAATTAGGAAATGGGAGATGAGTCTAGGTACAAAAGTATTTGTGGATTAACACATTTGACCATAAGAAGTAGGTCATTCGGCCCTTGAGCCTGCAATGCAATTCAATAGGGTCATGAATGATCCAGCATTCCTCATGTCTACTTTGCTGAGTTTTCCTCATAATCCTTGATTCCCTGACTGATGAAGAATCTATCATCTCAGCCTTAAATGTATACAAGGATTCTGTCCCTACAGCTCTCTGAGGCAAGGAGTTCTAAAGACTCCCAACCCTCTGGGAGGATGAATTCCTCATCTCGGTCTTAAATTGGTGACCCTTAATTCTGAGACTATGCCCTGTGGTCCTATACTCTCCATAAGGGGAAATATCCTCTCAGCATTTACCCTGTCAGGCCCCTTAAGAATCCTGTATATTTCAATGAGATCACCTTTCATTCTTCTAAACTCCAGTGAATAGAGTCCCAGCCTGTTTAGCCTTCACTCATAAGACAATCCTTCCATACCAGGGATCATCCTACTGAACCTTCTCTGAACTGCCTCCAATGAAATGATATCTTTCCTTAGGAGCTTTAGAAGAATAGGAAATAAAAATATGAAGGTGTGGAAATCATATCAATAAAGTACAGACAAAAAAGCGATTGACATGAGGGTTTCGGGTCCTGTGAAGTAGTGAAATTGTCTGGTTCTAGCTATGATCTTCAGCATTGGAAGCTGTTTATTACCTGTAAGGGAGGAACAGAAAGGTGAAGGAACTGCAGATCAGAAAGAGAGGTACAAAAGTCGGCATTAGATGATCTTTTGCACATTTTAACAGCTGGATATCTTGGTGATTTTGGCTGACTGGATTTAAGATACTGTGTCCTCTAATATTGGACTGTTATGTCCAACTTGAAGATCTGTATCGAACAATAGTTAATGTTGTAAGTGAAGAGTGAACTAAAACTGATCATTATTCTAATGCCGACTTCAAACCTGAAAATATGCTGAAATCATAGTTGATCTCAGAGGGGAGCAGAACAGATCAAAGGAAAGATTGGAAGGCTGGCTTCGATAAGGGAGGGAAATAGGTCAGAAGATCTCTTGGATGTCAATGCAGTTCTGAATTACTCCAAGTTAGAATTTTTTACCCTAAGGGATTTTGCAAATGAGGACGTCTATGTATCTGAATAACTTTATGAATTTTAATACCAGGTGGGAGTTACGTGGGTAGATGTCTGGCCTAATAGCACATTGTCCATTTCAGCATGCAAGGCCAGGGCTTTTTTTTAATTGGATTTGTAGTGGTTATTGCTACAAACCGTTTAATTGGAATTAATGTTTCAGAAATGTAATCAACTGTGGCAAAGAGGAAGAAAGAATTAAATTTGTGTGATTGATTAAGGACAGGTCTGATGTGAGCAAGTAACTTCTCTTTGTGTTGTAGGTGCTATGGATTATTCCAAACGAGATTGTACGTTGGATTACGATTGTGCTGGCCATGTGCCTCTCAGGCACCGTGCTGTTGATGACCTTTTGGCCAGCTGTCCGTGATGATAACCAGAGAATTGCCATAGCAACTATTGCAGTCATTCTGATCCTTCATGCCCTGCTTGCAGTTGGCTGTAAGGTATGAATTTGTTCTACAGAACCATAAATTTTCACATTTCTAAAACAAAAATTGTTATGAAACCTGAAGTCCAGTTTTGTATAGTGCCTTTTTTAAAATTCAGTTTCACATTAAGACAGTAAAATTGTAAATTAGGATTATTTCTAGTCTTAATTATTTTCTTTAAACCTCCATAAATCCAGCAGTTTTTCCAGTGACCTTCTCTACATGCTGTATTTCACTTGACAACAAAGGAGTTTTCTCAGATTTTGAACTGAGTTAGAGTGGCCCAGGCTAGTTCTAGCATTATATCACCTGAAATAAACTGGACAATCAACATAGTTTGGGAAGAAATTGCAAAGTCTCATCCCATCTTGTGAGAAATGTCATGTTTATTTAAAATGTTGTCATTTGTTGAAATTAAATTTCACATGATTGCAGTTCTTCAAATGTGATATTATTCATATTTTATATTGGTAATTTCAGCTTAATGCACATTGTTTGTTATGTTATGTTCAAATAGAGAGAATACCTGACTCGGACCAGCAGACTCATATCAAAGGGAAAGCTAGTACTGTTTTTAAATGGAAGTTACTTTTTTTTTCAAATGTTGGAACTGCATGACAACTCATTCATCATGTTTTATTTTCATTTCATATTTTCAGAATTTACGTTTTTTTTATTTTCATACTTTTGACTCATTTTGTAAAGAATGCGATATGTGTCAGCTGAGGTTCAGTTTGTAGCTCTCTGGCCTCTAGATGAATGTGATTTCAACTTCCATTCAGCAGTTTGAGGATAAAATTCAAAGCTGGTGCTCTTCAGCACTATTGAGGGATTGCTTCACTGTTGGAGGTATCATCTTTTGGATTATCTGTTAAACTGGGTCTCGTTCTACTCTCTTAGGTGACTTAAAACATGTCATGGCACAGTTTTGAAGAGCAGGGGAATTAGCCCCAGTGTTCTGGCCAATATTTATCCCTCAGTCAACACCACAGAAGCAGATTATCTACTCATTATCATATTGATAGCTATGTAACTTCACGGTTTGCAAATTGACTTCAATGTTTCCTGTATTTACAACTGTAACTACACTTCAAAATGTAGTTAATAGCTGCAGAATGCTTTGTAATATCAAGCAGTCAGTAAAGGAACTGCAGAAATGTATTTTTCCTTCTAATCCAAAGTAGAGTTTAGTGAACCTCACTTCAAAAATTTTAAATTTCGCTAATTTTAAATTTTGTTGTGTTGCTTTCCATCAGGCCTATTTCTTTGATCCTCCAGAACAAGTCAAAGCTACATTTGTAACCACAACCACCCCTGTTACCATTAATGGAACTACCTTGGTTTCCAATAGAACATAATTTGCCGGGTGAGTGTTTCCATGGTCTCTGACCCTAGGAATGAGATATTAATACTGGGTAATTCACTGGCTAAAAAGCATAACTCTGACATCTCCGTTTGATTGCAATTGTTTTAACTTTAATCACATAGATTTCTGTCCTAATGCTGCTAATTTCTAATCTTAAAAAAACTTAATAAAATATGCTGTCTAATGACTTAATGAGTAACTAAGGCAGGTCATGTGTTATTGATTCATGCACAACAGGAGAACCCAAGTCTATGCTGGTTTAGTTGTTTCATCGAGGGAAGTAGCAGATGCTATTTAATTGGCCTCAGTATTTCTGGATTAGAGAAGTGGAAAAAACATCAGACAGTTTCTATCCATTAACTTTGCAGTAATGCCTAATGGAAAGTATGCATCAGTGAATGTCAGAGAATGACAGGATTGGGCTTTGATTTGATGCATCCTAAAGTGGAATAGCTGTTGATATTTGGTTCTTTATGTAAATCTACCTCAGCACTTTCAGGATGGTACAAAACCTGAAACTGAAATAGTTGACTCAACTTCATTAGCTTCATTCTGTACATGGACAACATGTTTACATTCTAAAATTAACCAGCATTTTCAGTTTTCTTAAAAAAATGTAGTAACTTCTCAAAAGTTATTTTCTTTTTCATTAGGTTAAACTGTTACATTAGTGTTATGATCCCAGCCGATTGTTATTACTAAACAAGTCAGATCCTAGACTTTTTTCTGAAGAAGGGTCTAGGCCCGAAACGTCAGCTTTCCTGCTCCTCTGATGCTGCTTGGCCTGCTGTGTTCATCCAGCTCTACATCTTGTTATCTCAGATTCTCCAGCATCTGCAGTTCCTACTATGTCCTAGACTGAAACCTGGATTGATTGTTCAGATTTTATTTCGGTTTTGTTTTAATGAGGTGGTCTCTCAATGAAATATATGCAACTCAATGTTGCCGATTTTGTTTTAACAATAAAACAAGTTTATTCATCAAAAGAAATTTTTGAATAAACCATACTGTTTACTTACAACACAAATTAAAAGGTTTTTAAACACACAGTAAAAGTATAATCCCACTACTGTATATACTTGTGTAAAAGTCAGATTTTTTAGACTGTTTTTTAAGGTTAAATTTATGGGATCGACTATTGCGTGAGGGGCTGAAATTCATTCTACAGTCCAAAATACCGTATCATTAGCAGAAGCCCAATTGATCTCTAAACAAATAAAGAAAAAGAAACAAATTATGGTAATTACTGTAATATCTTCTAGTTCAACAGGCAGTTTTTCTGCAATCTTAGTTCTCTGCCGAAGTACTAAGTCATGCCTCCTCGTGAACCTTGTGTACCGTCCAGTACTTGCCTTAAAATCCAAAATTCCATCCTTGTTTGATTTGTTTCGTGCATGGATTAGGATGGCTTCTCAACTAACACATTTTCCGTTTTGACAGTTTTCAAGTACCCATTCAGCAACATTTTTTTCTCCAATTGTGGCCACTTGCTCGGTTTCCCTCTGGGGCACTTTTGTTTTGGCATTGTCTGAAGTTGAGTTGATACCTTTTCCAGTCTCTCACAAGTTGCTCCAAAACACAAAATTCTCTTGCTGCTACACAGTTATTTGCCTTCTCTGCAACTTCAATAACTTTCAGTTTAAATGCTGCTGTATATTTTTTGTTTTTTCTGGAGGGAATTTTTACACAAAATGAAGAAGAAATTTCAAAACACAATAGCATGAAAAAGATTGATTTCCTCATTGTAACACTTATGTACAGGATAATATCTTGACTCTCAAATGTTGATCTGTTATCTGTGAAGAACTAGGGTCAACTTTTATATGAGATATATGGAAAAATCCAAATTTTTTGGCCAAAAATAGGGAGTCAGCTTTTACAGGAGATCGACTTTTATTTGAGTATATATGTTAATCCCAAAATAATCCCTTACAATTTCCAAAAATGTCCAATACACAAAAGGATCCTTTATACAGTACTCACACCAAAGGAAAGAATATGTTCCTCACACATCTATAGGTTTAAGGTAACTGTGACTTTAACTTCTGGACCAGAAACATTGATAGCTTCTTCTTGGAGCAATCTACACTTAAGCTTAAACATATTCAGCTTCAATTAATCTCTTCAGGGGTTTCTCACAACACTTCTGGTTTGGGACTACCAGTAACTTCGTACTGAAAAATAATCTAGTTTTACTATACTCCCCTTCTCGGGTGCATTGCTTTGTGCAACCTTTATCCATTCATAGCATTGCTCAAATCAACGTAAAACTTAAAAAATGCCACCCCTCCTAAATTATGGGTATTTCCCCCAAGCTTTAAAAAATCCTGAATCCAGAAATTTCCAACAGACCATAAAGCATAATGGTCTACCATGCAAGTCACAACATATCCCGAAATAAATAAAAACCCATTAGTGCTGCCAAAGTAGCTGACAAACTGATGTAAAAGAAATTGCCATGGCTATAGAAATACTTACAAGATAATTATTAATTTCAGAAACAGAGAAAATCCATATGTCCCTAACTCAGACTAAAATAAATTATATTTAAAATATTTGCAAATTACACAGTTTATATCACAATAGTTTCAGAATTACGTGCAGAGCTTCAGGTGATTATCAGGACTCTTGAGTGGAAAGTGAGGGTAGGAAAATTTCAAGATAAATATTCTTTTCTCTGATTAGAAATTCAATAGCCAGGTTTTCGATATGATCAGAAATTATGAAAATTTTATTTGTCATTATGAAAATGTTATCTATGAAAGTGTTATTTATTTTGTAAGATGTTTTCTCCTGTAAACTATTTAATCTTTATACATGTATAAATGTTGCCTGTGTCTGTTTAGCAACAGTTACTCAACAGTTTTGGTGAGACAGTGACACACCAGGAAAATAGCAAGATTTAGTAGTTGTTTCTGTTTTATTCCATGATAATGCATTCTTTCATTTGATTAATTGCAAAAAAACTAACAAGAGAATTAAAGAAAGCTCTGTTAATGAAAACATTTGGTATTTAAATGAGTTTGTGATGCAATCTCAGACTTGTTAGAAACAGAAAATGGTTTTCGTCTTAAAAAGTTCATCTTATTTTAATTGATAACATTGATTTCTCGCCATATCCCTCAATTACATTTGTTTGCAGAAACTTTTCTAAATATTTTTTAACCTAACCAATTTAACTTATTAATGCCATCAGTTGCAATGGCCATGTCTGTTAATATATTCAAGTCTTTTATCCTTCATATAAAAATCAAAATGTCTCTGATTACTTAACTTCAAGATTTCTTATGTTCCCATCTTCAAAATTATTAACTGACCCCCCCCCCCCTCTTTTTGGTATCGTGAAAATGCACTTCAATCAACTTATTATCTTTTCATTCATAATTTTCAAAAGTGCAAAAGTTAGCATTCTTTGTGAAAACTCCTTGTGCTTGCTTGCAGATTCTTTTATTGATGTCTCGGCAATTGTTTAGTCTGAAGAGCCTTCCCAATCCTTGTAACTTGGGTTATGTAATTTAAGAAAACACTTGAAAGACGTTTATTCAACAGACGCTGGGACATTTGGTTGTTGCAAAGTTCCAAACTAACTCAATTAAATTTTGGGATTATTCTCATTGTGGCTGCTTGGATTATCTGTTCTATGTTTTCATGGTATCTTGAAATATGTACTTGTCACTGACTGTAAATGATTTTCTGTGATATTTTAGTAATTATTTTGGTAAAAATCTTGTTTGATTGTTCACTTTCTTAGCAAAGAAATCCAGTGCTCTATTATTGAATATCAATATAGAGGTTTATCTAGCTGTGCTAAATTTGTACATTAGCAAATTTATTGCATTTTTTGAAAAGCTAACTTTGTCCAAAAATCAACACTAATCTTCATAAATGTACATTAGTTAATTAAATTAGTTAAATTAGTTAATTAAATGATTGGTTATATTTCAGGATTTTGAGTAGAATTTCACAAAGAGTGATTAAATTCAGATATAAATTAGACAAAGGAGAGCCAGTGGATGTGATCTGTTCAGATTTCCAGAAGGCCTTGACAGGGTGCTGCACAGGAGGCTGTTAAATAGGATAACAGCCCATGTGTTAGGGGCAAGGTACTAACATGGATAGAAACCCTTAGCTGTTCCCTTATTCATCCATGAAGTCTTAACTAGTTTCAAACCAGTTAGAAAATGTCCATCTGTTCTTGCATCCCCAGAACCAATTGTAGCTTCCAGAGCTAACAGTCTGTATTTCTCCAATCATAGTCCACCACCACTGGACCCATGAACAAAAAACCAACAATGTACCAAGTAGTAGGAGTGACTTTTGTTTCAGTGTATAATGAGTATGCTCATCATTGGACAACTTCTTGAGCAAAATGAAATGAAACAAAGGATTAACAAAAACGGGGTAAGAATACATACTAAGAAACAAATGAAAATGTAGACTGTCTATCTTTGAGGAAAACAAATTTTTATTTTTAAAGTTGCTTTCTCTTAAGCTGAAGGCGGTGGAAGATAGAAAATCTAAATTATAGAGTACCTTTCATTGTTTCTAGTTGCTACTCTTCTATCTCTAGGAGACAGAGGTAGTAAGTTTGCAGATGACACCAAAATTGGACAGTGAAGAAGGTTATCTATGATCACAAAGAGATCTTGATCAATTGGGTCAATGGGATAACGTATTGCCGATGGAGTTTAATTTGGATAAATGTGAGGTATTGTATTTTGGTAATACAAACAAGGACAGGACTTATACAATTAATGGGAGGGCCCTGGGTAGTGTTGTAGAACAGAGACACCTAGGGGTTCAGGTACATAATTCTTTGAGATTTGTGTCACAGGTAGACAGGGTGGTTACGAAGGCATTTAGCACTCTTGTCTTCATTGCTCAGACCTTTGAGTATAGGAGTTGGGACATTATGTTGAGATTGTACAGGACATTGGTGAAGCCTCTTCTGGAGTACTATGTGCAGTTCTGGTCACCCTGTTATAGGAAGGATATTATTAAACTGGAGAAGGTTCAGAAAAGATTTACCAGGGTACTGCGGGGAATGGAGGGTTTGAGATATGAGAGTAGACTGGAAAGGCTGGGGCGTTTTTCACTGGAACATAGGATGTTGAGGGGTGACTTTATAGAGGTTTATAAAGTCACGAGGGACATACATAAGGTGAATGACAAGAATCGTTTCCCTAGGGTTAGGGAGTTCAAAACTAGGGGGCATATTTTTAAGGGGAGAGGAGCAAGATTTAAAAAAACGACATGAGGGTAAACTTTTTTTTTAGAAGACTATGGTTCATATGACTCTCAAACAAGAGCAAATATAATCACTTTACATTCACAGCATTCCCATTTCTGAATATCCCCATCACTGACCAGAAACTTAACTGGACTAGCCATATAAATATAGCAAGAAGCTGAGAATTCTGCAGTGAGTAGTTTCATCACCTGACTTGTCAAAGCCTGTCCATCATCTACAAAGTCTAGAGTGTGATGGAATACTTACAACTTGCCTAGACGAACACTGCTCCAACATCACTCAAGAAACTCAACACCATCCAGTATGGAACAACCTATTTGATTGACACCAGACTTATCACTTTAAACATTTATTCCGGATCACTGATACACAGTGGCAGCAGTGTCTATCATCTACTAGATGCACTGCAGCAAATACATCAAGACTTATTTGGTAGCACCTTCTAAATCCATTATCTCTAACACTTAGAAGGAGCACCACTGCTTGCAGGTTCCCACTCAGCAACACAGCATCTCGATTTAAAAACTATAAGAGTATTCTTTCAGTGTTGCTGGGTCAAAATCCTGAAACACTACCTAACAACACTGTGGGCGTACTTCTAACACATCGACTGCAGCAATTCAAAAAGACAGTTCACCACCACTTCTTCAAGGGCAAGTACGAATGGACAATAAATGCTGACCTTGCCAGTGACATTTGTAGCGCGTGAAAGAATTAAAAAGGAAATTGAGTGTGATAATGGAGTTACATGTAAACCACACTGTGGAGAGGAAGAGGAACTGGCAGATTCCCTTCTTAACTCACCAGGAAATGAATATAATGTATTTTGACGGAAGAACAGCATCACTCGTGGTCAATGTTCTACTGCCAACCCATAAACTAATACATTTATTTAATACATAATTATTCATAGCTGAATTTGAACTCCAGACTTGTGCTCAATATTGTAGGTAATAGACTATCCAATAGCAACCTGGTTGAGATTTATAATTTTAGACAGTATCTAAACCCTGACTGCTACCCAACCAACAACAATGACGCTTAGAAAACTGCTCTCTTGGGGGGAAGATTGGAAGGTATTGTAGTGGTGGTGGAAGAGAAATTCTGTTATTTCAAAAGGTGAAACAGTTAATGCTAGCTTTGACTTTATAATTTACAGTTGGCACAAAGCTCTGGCACGACCACAATCTACTGTTACACTTTGATATCCCTATCTGAGGTGTAGTCTACCTACTTGACAATTAATCACTGTAATTGGAGCTGCATATGTTAATGGCTAAGAAAAAAAGTGGGTTTTGTGTCATCTTGACTGTAATTAGACAGGGCTCAATTCCTACAAACGTCAGATCTTCCACTGACAATGAACTGTAAAAACCAATCAATCAATCAGGGAATAGCTGACTGGTTCTGTCCACACAAACAAAGTGCCTCTCTCTCTCAAGAGAGACGTTTTTCAAGTCTTGGATGAAACAAAAGCTGGAGTAAGGTATGGAGGGTACTTAAATATTTTCAGTTTGCTAATGATTACAGTTTCACTTTGTACATAGTACAATAAATTACAAAGTTGAGAGTTCTGGCAAAAAGACTACTTAAAATGTAATGGAAAACAAGTGCAGATTTAAACGAAGCATTTTAGAATTTATAATTAAATGTGAGAGAATTGTGGGATATTGATAATCAATTCTTGCAAGAATATCTGTCATTATATGCAGTCTACTGGACCTTCAGCAAGATGTTGATAGGGTCCTGCATGGGAGACTGATGGCAAAGGCAAGAACCCATAGGATCCAAGGAAATTTTGCAAATTAGATCCACAATCGGCTGACTGGCAGGAAGTAGAGGGTGATGGTTGTGGGATGTGTTTCCTACTGGAAGTCTGCGTCCAGTGAAGACCCACAGGGGTCAGCGTCAGGACCCTTGCTGTTTGTGGCTTGTTTAAATGATTTAGACTTGAATGTAGGGAAATTAATCAATAACAAAAACAGAAGTTTTCGGAATGTTCACCAGACCGAAATGTTAACTCTGATTTCTCTTCACAGATGCTGCCAGACCAGCTGAGCTTTTCCAGCAACTTCTGTTTTTGTTTCTGATTTACAGCATCCACAGTTCTTTTGGTTATTTTTAAGTTGATCTATAAGTTCACAGAAGATATAAAAATTGGTGGGGTGGTAAATACGGAGGATAGCCTTAGATTACAGAAGGATATAGCTGGGCTGTTCAGTGGCAAATGGATTCAATCTGAATGAAGGTGAAATGATGCACTTGGACAGGACAAACCAAGCAAATGCATACATGATGATCGGTAGGACCCTGAGAAGCACAGAGGATTGCTGTACATGCACACAATTCCCTTACGGTATTACGACAGGTGGATAAACTGATAAAGGAAGCATATGGTATATGTGCCTTCATTAGCCGAGGTTATGCTGGAACTGTACAGAAGGTGGTTAGGCTAGTATATTGTTTGCAGTTCTGGAGTCCACTTATATGGAGGGATGTGGTTGTGTTGGACAGGGTGCAGAGGAGATTTACCAGGACATTTCATAACTGAAACTCACCAGTCCAGGCAGAGAGATTAGACAGACTGGAGATAGTAAGAACTGCTGCTGCTGCTGGAGTCAGAGATAACACAGTGTGGAGCTGGAGGAACACAGCAGGCCAGGTAGCATCAGAGGAGCAGGAAAGTTGATGTTTCAGCTCGGGACCCTTCAGAAATTTCAGAAGATTTCTGAAGAAGGGTCCCAACCCAAAATGTCAGCTTTCCTGCTCCTGTGATGCTGCCTGGCCTGCTGTGTTCCTC